AGCTCCATTTGCATGTTACACGGCACGCTTCGGGACCGAATGAAAGCGAGCTTTCGCGGGGCGAAAACAAAAAGCCGCGGGTAGGCGGCGGAGAAGAGGGGCAGGGGGGGGGGATGGGAAGGCCGGGGGGAAAAGAAATTGAAATTCTTCCGTCTTCTTTGCGGTTTGACACTCTATTTCCTACATAATTTGCGCCACGAATAAGCGAAACATTGGAAGAAAGAGACGCTGATGTTTCGTTCAGCATTTTACAGGAACCTTTAGGGTGCACGCAAAGATTTCTGCTAGAAAATTGAAAACGCTGCTTTTTCGTAACAATAGTGGCATCGATAAAGAAAACTATGTCAATTGGATCGAATTGAAATAATCGACGATGCCTGTTTAAAAATGAAAATTGTGAATTTTGTTTCTTGGGGGTTAGGACTTCTTAGTATTACATAATTAAATGTTAGTTCAATGGTAGATATCATGGAAAATGGTATTGTAGTACGATAGTTTGAATTTAGTGAATCAAGTAGTGCGAGTCAATAATAAATGAGTCCGGCATAAGTAATGCATGTATTCAATCGTTAACTATATCCAGAACGATTAGTGGCTATGGAAAAGAATAATAGTAACACGTAAATGGGCAACACTTATTTTGAAACGAACAAACGAATTGAAAGTTGTATGAATTCAGTAGTAACTCGAGCTCGAAACCGCAAGACGAGGATGACAATGGAATCGCGTTTGAAATAGAGGAAAGGATAAGCTTTCAAGAGGATTTACGGACGAGTTGATCCACTTACGCTTGCAGGAAAGCTTCTATTTTCGGGAAGACGACGCTCCTGCTCTTGCGATCGAGTAATTTCGATATTTTGTCGTCGATCTTGCTCGGCAGCTCCCACGCCAAAGCGACAGTCATGCCCATCACCACGTCGTTTTCTCTGGCGTACGTTCCAACTGTCAGGCAACCGACCAGCTGACAGAAACAGAAGACACTCGATACATCCTCAAGCGATTGACACTCCGTCAATGTTCACCGAATTTCTATCGAATTTCTATCGATAGAATCTGGCACCGAAACCGTGCTCGAATTAAACAACCTCGACGCGTTGACATTTTAAAGACGGGTAGGATTTGCGAAAGGCAAAAATTGTTTCGATTTAACAAGGACCAAAATTATTATATAAGTTACGTGAAGTAGAAAGTCATGTGCAATTTGGAGACGATAAAATTGAAAGATGTAGATGTATTAGCAGGACGGTGAGATTCAGCTTGGTTTTTACCTGGACGTTGCTGCCTTCTGGGAAGATCAAGTACCTCTTGGGTCTCGATAGCGTCCTTGGCGTGTCGACAGGGTTCTGAGCCTCACAGATCATCAAGAAATCGAGGCACGCCAGGACTAAGGAGGCACGTCGGACACGCAGCATTCCTTCGACGTGGCCGCTTAATTATTCTCCACTGTCATGCATTCCGCTGACGTATCGAACGACGAACCAAAGATGGGCAATATTTTTATCCAAATAGAAAATTTGGAAAATCACTATAAATTCGACAATTGTTGATCTCTTGTTCGAATTATAGTCAGACCGTGAATCATAGAATGACAAATTTCAATTTAAACAAAAATTCGATTATCTTTAATCGAATAAATTACAAGAGTAAATTCAAGTATACAATTTCAGTCGAATAAACACTACAAATTAATTCGACTGTGTTCGACCGAATAAACGTCACGAATAAATTGCTATACGTTCCATTCGTTATTCAGAATGAAACTTTCCCTGAAAATGTCTGAAACTTTTGAGGAGATGAGGAACAAGAATCCGTGATTTAAACGCCACTGGAATGCGATTTACACTAAAGCACTGGTCCCGCCCGAAGAAGGTAGAATAGTTCCCTGGCTGAGGTAACGGTAACGAGTTGTGTTTTTCCACGGGTCTAATCAGCCACGCGACGCCTCGACAATTCGTCCTGTAAACGAAACAGCTCAGCTTACCATCTCGACTGTTTCTCCTCGTCGCCACCTCAGCCGTCCATCGAAGTCACTTTTTCGGATTTGTGGTGTCTACGAAGTCGAGCACCATCTTTCAGACGCTGTAGAAACGTGTTTACACAGACTGGGTAGAGCGTGTGCCGTTCTCGATGGAAAACTTTTCGACGACCGTTGGGTCGAGACTCTGATCTTCTGTGGTGCTGGATCCGGCGACTACGTGTACTCATTTATCATTGCTCTGAGGATTTCATGCCTTTATGGCGTACGAAATATTTTTCATGAATTAATATGACTGCAAAGCGACGAAGAAGTTTTATATTGAATTTTATATTTTTGATTTGGGCCTTTCTTTATTGAATTATATAAAGATTAAGAGCATTAATAATAGTTTTGTTCAGACCCAGTGTAAAACTTACAATAAGTCATGCTCTCATGTAGCTACAAACGTTCTTTCGTCGGTACTCGTTGGCCAAGCGACGGCCACGAAATAGGAAAGATCGAGCGATTGCACGGCGATTTGCATAGCCAGCGACCTCCTTCTTGGAAACGAGCCCCGATGTCCCCGAAATCGTTCGAGTTTTCCGTCGAAACGATTCCCAATGCCGCAAAACTGACCGAATCCCTCTCCGCCATAGCGGACGCCCACTTTGGTGATTAGCCAAGTCTGCCCCCCCAAGAATTATATGTTTGCATGCGCCGCGCTCCTCCGCAACACTTGACGATTTAGTGAACAAAAGAACGTAGGGGGTGGATCGTAAATTGTCCATCAAGTTCGCAGCAAAAGAATCGTCCGCGGGTTAAATCGTCCGATAGTTCCAGTTTCTGTCGGCAATTAAGGAACGCTGATTGGTGCGCGCCATTAAACTTCCTCGAGTTCAGTAAACCTTCTTTGGGCGCTAAAAATATACCTCTCCGAGCAAGTGGGTTGTTCGAAGAATACAAATATTCGATGGGAATTCGAGTAGGAACGTATTCGAGTCCGGAGTTGGATAGTTAGGCGAATAGTGCGTTCGATCATTTTGCCATATGCTTGTTTGGAGGAATAAGGAGCTCTTAACAAGAAACCTTCCTTATCGATAAGGTACAGTGCACTACAATACCAAAGGAGCCCTCTACCTTGCCGATAGGTCACTCTGTCTTGCTCACTGAAATTCTGCCTTACCAGTCAGGCACTCTATCTTACCAACCGTATACTCTACCTTATCGACTTCTCTCTATCCATTTAACTATTTTTAAAAAACAGAAAAAAAACACTATCAAAAAGGGAGGAAATCAGTTTCAGCACCTGTTCTCAAACTTCACTTTATTAAACAAATTTATGAAACGTTCCCCTCAACCGTTAGGCTTTCGTCGTTGCAGAAACTGGATCGTGATGACCAATTGGAGCAGACTGCGGGTCGCTAGCTTAAAATTAAACGAACATCCCCTAAATGAACACACGACAGCGAAGCCCGTATTGAGCAAACGAAGCGCGCGGACGTTTCGCTCATTGTACATTTAAATGCTCGCTTATATTAATTCGCAGTGTCTTCGCTGGAACGTTGGCCAACCTTCTGGAAAAAATCCAGTTTGAGGGAAGACAGAGGGAACAAGAGAGAGAGAGAGAAAGAACGCTTTTTCACCGGGCGACACTTATTTCCTCATTTCGCATCCCATAGCGGCGGAACGAGCGTCTGTTAATTGCATATGGGAGTTGCTGTACCCCCCTTCCTGTACAGTGTCTGGCAAGAAAACCGCAGAACATTCTAAATTAATGCTTTTCGTTAACGCGTTGCCACCGTGGATGCAATTATAACCGTTCTGTCGCGGAATGTGACTAGGGGAGGAGGGTGTCGCATCACGTGGAAAATCCAGAGGGATAATGCGTGGGAAACGAAACGGTTTCAAGCTGCGGTGTTTGTATTGTTAAAAATTGGACAATTAAATTCTCAGACCCGGAAGGATCACCAGAGGTGTTCTGTTATCCAGGATTACGCGTTGGCGATCGAATACGAGACAAGGAATATTTATTTCTTCGTAGTTTTAGGATGCATTTTTAAGTCGTGCAATTATGAATGCAGTTATGAATTTTATATTGAACTTTATATTTCTTACTATCACTTTAAATAGTTAAAAGATTAAGAATATTGACGGATCACTTCACTGGAATTATTATAGTTGTCAGATTACAAAAGAATTTTACATTTCTATCTACGGTCTGTCTCAACGATAAAATTTTTATACTAAATTATAATATTAATACAATTATTGTGTAGGTTTCTAGATTATCCAGTAGGGAACTGATATTGAATGATGTAATGTTTATCGTACATGTTAGAAAACATTTCCGACTTCTCGAGTCAAAGGCACGTAAACATTGGTGGGAGCATGTTTGAAAGTCAGAGCGTGACGCTGTTTATAATTCTGTTATTGGCAATAAGAGTGGTAGGAGATATTCTAACGAATAGGGATCGTCGAAAAGGGTCTGACTACCTGAGTTAAATTATCGCAGCTTCAGTCGTCCGTAGAATTTCGGGTCGGTCACATATCGTTACGCGTCGTCTAACGATTATCGCTTTCGTCTTCTTCCGACTCGGGCGTGGCACGGAACTGTTCTTATTTATGAATTCGTGAGCCATACATCGGTCGCGACAGGCTTGACTACAGTGGCCTCATTCCTGTTTTCGTATTTTATTCACTCTGTAGTGCCAATAGTTGATTAATGGAGCAACGTGTCTCTAAATTAAAACGTGATTAGTTTTGGCTGGTTCAGTAACTTTCCGATTACCGTGGGACCTGTATTAGCGACATAGTGAAGTGAACTAGTGATACAATGACCTGGATTAATTACACATTGAAATGGACTAGTGGTAGGCTGAAAATGGACCACTGGGACTGGAACCAGGCGCTGTTTGCAGTAGATTAGCGTGAGGTGTTAGAAGGCTCTACGACTGGTGAGTTTCAAATTTTTTAGTTTACGTCACGAAATATTTTGTATGTTTTAAATGAGCGCCATTGCATTTTATATCATGTTCGTTATGAAAGTTTATTCGTTACACGAATGTCTATTCTATGTCTCGATATATAGTATTAGATTGTCCCAAAAGTTTCTTTCGTTTTATTAGTAATTAATATATACACAATATTTTATGTTTCATGTTACATCACTGAATTGTGTACGATTCATTTCGCTTCATTACTGTTACAGCATCAATGTTTAAGAAATTAGATCGTCTATTTATATAAACACTGCCACAGAAAATAATTGAATAAAACTCACGAAAGAAACTTTTGGGACAACCTAATACTTGCTGGTGATGTAGAATATTCTACATTGCCACAAGGACGACCTCCCTTATCGACTGGTAGATTTACATTACTCAAACAAGACTCGTTCGTTATTTCGCATCGCCGAGAATCCCCTGTTTTATTCGCTTATAAAACTATCAATTCCAATTAACTGTAGAGGGCAATTCGTGACGTGAACGTCGCAGTAAAGCAAATCCTTGGACACGTCGTCATTATTCGCGTAAGATCTGAAATTAGCTGCAGTTAACGAGATGCTTCTGCGATTAATATTAATAACCGAGCTGTGCTCACCCCATGAGTATCTTTAGTATCTTCGCTATGACTCCATCTCTCTGACTCGCGTACTCCATTGCCTCGCAGACGTTCTTCAGTAGACAGGACTTCCCGTCGAATCCGTGACTGAAATTATCAAATAAAGAGCAGGCTTTTATAGGTATTACAGACAGACTATATATATGTATATAATTATTATATATAAAAATTTATTCTTTGGTTGTGTAGAGTCGTTGGATTTCCTATAAACTTATGATATAGGTACAGTAGGACCTTGGTTATAGGAGGAAAATGGGCAGGCTTTCGCAATAATTGAGAGAATGAGTCCAATTCTATGAGTAGAAGTTCTATGCAGCATAGTTTTTACATCTAACCTCACTTACTGCTTAGCAATGATCAAGGTTCTACCGTAGAACCATTCAGTACTTTCTCTACCCAATACAACAGTATTCAACTACAAACAATTATTATACTCCCAATTTCCACTCCTCAACAACCAAATGCTACCAAAATAAGAAATCTCAACACTACAATACTCCAAAGCACGTACACCTTCCACCCCAAAAAGAATCTTTAAAAAACCTCCCTAAAGGTTCTTCGAGTAAAGTAAATCCCCATTAAAATCCCAAACCAACCAGCCTACACAATTCCTCCACCCGTCCTCCCAAACCACGAATGATACAAGCAACAGTTCCTCGCAGAGATCAAGGAAACTCATCGGATGGGCATCTGGCGAAACGAGGAAGTGAGAGAAAGAATCGGAGAACTCCGGAAGCAGCCAGTGGTGCGGCATTGGCCGATCGGTAGTCGACGTCGGAAATCGTCTGTCGGCCAGAGATCCATCCCTTTCGGACCAATCCTCTCTCGCCCATCCTTCGGCCAATTTCCTAGACACCGCGGCTTCCATGCGGCCGGATGCCCATCCCTGCATTATTCACGAGCTATTAAACTATTTATTACCTTTCGTACACGAGCTCCGCAGCCTCGTGCACGTCGACGATGGACCTGCCTACCCTGACAGATCCCGTCGGCAGCTCGAACGCCATCTTGAAGCCCGCAGCCTGGGCGAAGATCGGCGTGTTTGGTAGTATGGTGATCTTGTAATTCACTCTGTACTGAAACCCGCCAAGTTTTCGTTAATAGTTGCCGAGTGCTCGTTAAGGTGTACGAGAAGGATGGATCCGGAAGGCGTGAGAGCGATTAGGCCAACTTCGTCGGAGATTAGGGGATCCCCCTGGCTACCTACGGACAGTGATCCAGGGAGGATGTGCGAACCAATGGATGTATTATGAAGGACGTGTAGCAGGAATTGGGAGACGCTTTTGTTTTAGGCTGTGTTGGCGGGAGGATGCGGCATGTGGGAATTTGAAAATGGTAGCTGTGGAGGGATACATGTATTTTTTAGCAGATTTTGGGTGGTTTACTAGTTTATTACTGTTTGATGCAAGTTGGAAGTGACAGTTTGGTCTTTTAGGTATTATGGAGATAGTCTCGGTGAAATTAGGAAATACTTTTGTTTTAGGTTGTGTTAGGTAGAGCTTTTTAATTTTTTAAAGCATTTCGAAATCTAGTGGTTTATTACTGTATTACTGTTTAGTACAAAGGGTATCACGTAGAAGTCAATATTAGGCTCACGGAGCACAGTCATCCTGGTCCATTCCAAATTCCACAGGGAAATCCTCGAACACTTACATAAATAAGGAAGCCTTGAGAACCACTGTTCCAAAGGAACGCAAAGACGCAGTATCGTAAGAATTATGCGGATCCCGCAAAAAAAAAAAGGGAAGAACGGCTCAAAGGCTTTGTTTTCATTCCCATTTCGGCCAAGGAAGGTGGAGTCTGAGAGGGATGTTCGTCTGATAAACGACTTGCCAGATCCAGGTGACACCCGAGCCCCAAGCCAGCAGCCTTGTGCTCGCTTAAAGCCATACCTGCGCGATACACAGCTTAACTGAAAACTCTGCGTAACGCTTGCCCCGTCACTTCGTTTCCTAGCCGTTCCTTCCAGAAGAAGCCTTTGTTCGTTGTACGAAACGATGGACGTAGATTGGATCCTGGTCGTCATCCTCGATTCGAAATTGAAATTTTCGGTTGAGGTTCTGAACCTCTAGCAGCTTCCTGGGCGTGGTTATTCCTATACACGTTCTCGTTTTCGACCTCCTGTTTTACTTGGACTATTCGATATTGGAAACGATTCGTGGCCACGAGCAGTGGTTTTTGGGGAGGGGAACGCCGCATTGGGGTAGTTTCGAAGCGGTCAGTGTCTCCCTGTTCTGTTGTCGTTTCTGGATACGAAACATCCGACAGAATCGTTTATATGCAGAGTGGACGTGGTATTTTCCGATGATGAGTCGTCAGGAATTGTCTGGAATTGTTTGGAATTGCCATGGAATTTGTCGGCGTGGATACAATCCGCGAGAAATTGAATCTGGTCGAGTTGGAATTTGGAATAGTTAATTTTGGGACGTGCGTGTCGTCGTAGTTGGAAAAATAATCGAAATTCTTTGCTCATACATTTAAGGTGATAGCCAGAACTTTGTTGAAGATTATTACCGATTAGCAAAAATTGTTGTATGCCACAAAAAGAAGGAAACGGCTGAGATGGTAGAATCCGCGGGAGAATCGTGGAACAAGTGCAGAATGTGGGTTGCGGGTGAAGCCTGCGTGAAAAGGGGGTCATTGTCGACATGTAAATGAAATAAAAAAATGCACGCGACACAATGTACAAAACACAGGGAAGCTCTGCTCGCTGGCTTTAAGAATGTCCCCGAAAGATTGAACCGAAGTGTATCGCGGCGAGGCATCCCCGCAATTTATCATCGTTCCTTTTTCGACAGTCCTGAATGCATTCATACATCCCTCGCGGAGGGTTATGCAACGCGGGAGGACGCTCCGCGATATTTTTATTATTCTTGGGACCTCTGAATTGGAAATCCGTCGTGAAGTTTTTGCGTCGTTCGCGCTCGACGCTGGGAGGGATTAACCAGGAAAATAACAGATGCGTACCGTGAAGAAATAATGCATTTTAAATGTAGGTATAAAGAAGATTACGAGGAGGGATACTTTTTGTGGTAAAAGATAATGTCCAGAATGGATTTACCGCTCTTCGGTATAAAAATATGGTTATACATTTTGTACCCATTTCACGAATATTCCATACATTCCAATACCGTTTTCACAGATTCTACACACAGAAAATTAAGTTTATTATTTGATATTGACGCGCAAGTATGCAGTATGTAATTCATAATTACCATTTTGTTTTAAAGAGTTCTCAAGGTTAAATTAACACTAGGTTAACAAACGGACATTTAACGATTTCAAATTTTACAAGATTTTACAGAAACTGTTTACATTTTTCGTCAACCACTTGTGTTGACTTTTATCCATACAGAGAGAATACATTCAATGAATTCGTATGAACATGTTTGGCAAAGGACAATGCGAAACCTGTTTCCCTGTTATGCGCGGGTAAATCGAATAATCCTTCACGGTTGTGTGTGGAATAATTAGGAGGGTAATTCGGGGATTTCGGGTCTGCGGGGCTAGAATAATCTTTGTTTGGACGCCAAGTTGGGTTTAGACCAAGGAAAACTCTGCGCGGACTGGTCAATTTCACAAATATCGTTAGTACGTTCGCGTACCTATTCACGAGAGGATCGTTTTGCATGTATGGTGAACAAATCACACGCGACATTAACGGAGTTTGGGAGCCAGAATCAATTACTTCGGAAAAGGGGACCGTTTAAAAAAAAATGCGGAAGGGTATTTAGATTTGAGAAAATTCTTGTAACATGATGAAGTATGTATGAATGTACACACAAAATAGGAAGTTGAGATATTCTTAGTTTATTCTTAGTTTATTATGTCTTGCAACCATGTATTATTCTTGCCAAAGTATAAATTCGCACGCACGCAACATTTGAAATAGATACGTCCAATAGTTTTCCGGAGCAAAAAAATGTCCACCCATAAATTTTATCGTCACAGTACACCATCCACAATGTGTTGCAGCCACATATTATTTCAACAGAAAACCATCTATCCTATCTAGAAAAATTCCCCCAAGCTTGCCAAAGTATAAATCAACGCACAAAAATCTAGAAAATTCGAAACACGTTTGTCCAACAACTCCCCTCAGAAAATCGGCAACACCCATACAGCTTGAAAAGTTTCCCAGTTAGTAGGTGATAATCTTTCGAGGCATGCAATCTCGCGTGAAGACGAATGTCCCCATCACGGTAAGAAGAGATCACCTTCGTTTTTCAAAGATTATCGCGCGGGGGTACGCGACGTGACGTGCGAGCTCTCTTTCGCTCTTCGTTATTCCGCGGAGCGTATCGCGGCACGGCAGGTCGTATCGATTCACCAGGCTGATCTGAAATTCAGCGGCTGTCTCGTACATTAGGATAGGCCGCCTAGCGCGCATGCAACCGGTCGTATCGTCGATACTCGCTGGTGCACTTGCTCGTAAGTGCACTGGATCATCGCGAGTCGCGTAATTCTTCCGGTGCGCGTACCAGGGACCGGAAGTGCAGCCTACCGCCATCGGGCGGCTCCAGCTGGCGCCCGTCCACCCCCCCAGAAAATCGTAAACAGTTAGCGAGCGTCAAACTCTGGGCTACTCGAAAATTTCACGCTCGACTCGATTTTAGCAGTGCGAAAAATTTTACTTGCGAACTCCACATGTTTATAACAATTATGTTTTATGGTTGTTTATTATGGATTTTGAAAATGCAGTATGCAATAATATAAAAAAGTATTGAAAGTAAAGTTCATGTTATAATAAATTCCTATTTATCGATATCACTAATCCAAATATTTGAATACAGTACTCTGATATTAGAACTCGTAGAATATCGTCGAGTATGTCATTTTATTTTTAATTTGAAAATCATATTTCGATAAATATTACCAATTTCGATACTCGTTCGAAAATTCCACTGCAATGCGGTACAAAAATATGTTTGCCCGTCTTTTTCATTTTGTTCTCGTATTATTGAAGACTACTCCGGGCGGGAAGGCGGATAATGCGAATTCGAGGTGCGCGATACGTCTCGGGGTCTCAGGTCGATCGACGAGTTACGACATGGAGACTTACTTGATCGTGCATTACAGAGTGGCCTCGATCCACTCACGCCCCCGCACCGAGGGAGGAGCGCCTTTTAAGGCGAAAATACGGGCCAACGATCGGTTTACATTAGTCGCAGTCCCCTGTACTGTATGGTACATAAATTTTCGCTTCGCAGGCTGCAGCATCGCGCAAGACGTGGCCCATAAACAGACGCGATAGCGTAAAGGGTACGGTTTTCGATGTCGGGCTAATTTCGACGCGGATCATGCGGAAGTTTCTACAGTCGTTGAATCGCGAGTCCGCGAACCGTTCTACCAAACATTCACAATGAATGTTACATTTTTTTTCGTGGTGCAATTGATCGAGTACAGTTGATGGAGTTGTTCAATAGGAAATGCTTAATTTAGACTTTTAGAGCACCTTGTAGATTTAAAATAATTGCAATGAATATAAAATTTCTTTGTTCTTTTGCTAATGAATTTGATACAACTATTCAATGAAAAGGGATTGTTCGGTGCACTTTATGTATTTATATTTCACTTTTCAATTCTCGTCTGACATTTCGACATACACTTTATTATTCGTAGAATTCTTATCTTGTTGAACAACAATTTTTCTTTGAAATATTTCAAATCACTATTTTTATGAAAACGACTATTATAAATTTGTACAAAAAAAAAAAATTACATCACTCGAAACATAAAGTGCACAGAATAGCAAAAGTCACAGAAGAAGAATTCACGACGATTCGTTCCTAGTTTGATTAGGAGTTAACAGAATTTGGCAGGCTTCGATACTCACGAAAAAGGAACTGCCCTTCTTGAACGCCAGAGATCTAGTAACTCTAGCAGCGGTCACGAGCTCCCCCGAGCTAACGAGGCCGAGACAGAGCAAGCTCCAGAACAACAGTCGCATAATCAACGATTGCTAGGCCCCAGGCCAAGATCTTGCGATGTCGTCCACGTGATGCTCGCTGCGGCTCGTGCAAACCGACTTGACCCGCGAAAACGTCTTCCTTCGGTGGCATCGAGTCGTTTAGAGTGACAACGTTGCCCTCGGATATCGATAACGGTTGTCCCCACTATTTGCCAAATTTTTCGTTCCACTTCCAACATCCTGTCATCGACACGTTCCTCCTTTTCTAAATTTATTATGTGACTCGTACCGAAAAGTGTAACTCTGCTTATTCATGCTGTAATTAGCAGGAATAAGCTTCATCATTGTATTTTTCATAATTACTAGGAAGAATGTTTATTTCGAAAGTATTACGGTCTCATAAATTTGAAACGATCCATCAATCAGATCTAAACCAAATATTTTCTGACACTATTCCCCTAAATCATCAACTATTAGTTCGACCTACATGCACGCTTCAAAGCCAGGACTGAAAGGTCGGGTGGCATTAGCCAGCAACGATTCAACAATTAATATTATTCATTCGCAAAAACGGGACACATTGTTAGTCTCTGTCTCGAACGTCAGACACGTTGAATTTCCACCTGAAAAGCACCGGACTTAACAGTACTCCTTTGTCTGAAATATGGAACATGCCAGTAGCTCTCGCACGAAGACTGAGTTTCTCTCGGTAAACTCCCAAACTGCCTGCAACACTAAACGATTCCTCTCCCTCTCCGTTTTACGACCGAGAATCCCTTGTCTAGAGTGTCGGACGAGTCAGTACACCCAGCACCCTGCGAGTGATTTGTCTATTGATACAGGAGAGTACTGCGAGAAGGGACTGGCCGAATGCTCTGTCAAACATTGTGGACACGACGTAATGGAACAAACATGGCACAACACTGTTGATATAGATTGGTGTTCCCCAAAGTTTTTTCGCTGGGTGGTTCAATTTGCTTTCGGTCTGACGCGGTATATGGGATAAGCAATTGAACTCATAGAAATGTCGATAACGAGTGTAGTTTAAGTAGGTAACGTAGGACATTATCGACAAATCCTTTGATCATTTAGGGATCTACGTTGCCGATGCTTACCGATTGAATGCGCTACGTTATCGACAGACTAAGCTACATTATCGATACAATCCACATCATAATCTTCAGCATTTGAAGGTTTATTTCAAATTCAGGAATCCTCTGAATTAAAAATGAGGAAATTATTAATTTTTTTTGAAAATGAAATTAAAGCTTAAAGAAATCCGTCTTAGGTTCTTTTTAATGTACGTGCACGGTTTTGGATTTCAAAAGGCAGTTTCGTGGGCCACAGCCATAACGTTGTAACTATGACTTATCGAATAAGGGAGTTCATTAAACTTGACGAAACGCACTTAGCGTCACTTTGCTCGCAGGGAGAAATTGACGGGAGAAAATCGACGAAATAACTCCCAGGAGTCAGAGAGACTGACTTGTCACTCGGCAATTGGTCCTTTTGCAGTTAACTACCTTCGATTAAAGTGACTTCGTTCAACTATTAAACCGACTCGCGCCACGGTTGCGTTACCGGCCCGCGTCGAATGGCGCCCATGCACTCGAAACGACCGTAAAACTGCAGTTTAATAATCAATTATTTTCCACCCTTCCAATCCCATCGTTTACTGCCTCGTCTTAGGAGCGTATTTATGAGTCTAATCTTGGAGCTCGATAAAATACCAGCACTCTTGTACCCGCCTCCTTCATCGATACTGTTACAACCATCGGACAGTTATTGTAAAAAGGGAATTAAACAAGTTTGAACCATTTTTTTCAAACGAATTTATTCGTCATTTACGATTTTAATTCAATTTTTAGGTGGCGATATTATGAGACTAGTGATTTTGTTTACAGCTTTTGAAAAAGATTGAATTGTTTAACCGATTTTCAAAATGTTGATACTTTGGGGTGGTTTGAATTATTTTTTAGTGAGGCAGGATGAATATTGCGGTGGACTCAGTCAGTCGAAAATTTATCGTATCGAGGAGTGACTTGGTTTACAGTAATTTTTGATAAATAATTCGAGAATCTTCGATTTCAAAGAAATTCAAACATTTGCATTCGTTTAGTAAAAAGCTTGCAACGGGATATCAAGAAGCGATTCTTTTTTCGCCATGGCAGGGGCGTATATAGGATTTGACGCGAGCTTAACAGCGTGAAACATAAGGTAGAGAGAGATTTATTCCGGTGTAAAGGAAGAGTGACGTAAGGCGAGGGCGAACCGTGTAACTGGGTCGTGAAAGAAAATGTGGAGAAAACGGAATAAACCACGGAACGGAGAAACCTAATAATGAAAGATGCCGCATCTTAATTAATAAACGGTGGAAATTCGATCTAAAATTCCTAGGCCAGCGGGACACGCCGAATAAATCATAGAACAGTTTCCGTGTCTTCTTCCTATCGCGCTGGCCCTCAAGTATCCCTCGTCCATCATCGAAGAATCTTCGTTATCTGGTCTGGAATCAGATGACGCAATTTACGAAATAAAAACATCCAGTGTCATCCATCGATTCATTAAATTATTTTTGATCTTTGAGCAATTATTGAACAATTTAAGTCTTGAGAGAACTTTGTGATGTTTTTTTTTTTTTTATTATTCGAACAACGAAGAAATACGGTGAAATAAGTAAACTTAAAGAATATAGGGTTCCCTAATTGTAAAAAAAGAAGTGTACGATCTTACGTCAGAAGTAGATGCAACAATTCCCCAATCAGCCCTTCGTCCTTCATTGGCGTGGCGGCAGCCTCGCAAATGTCCTTCATTAAGCAACTCCTTCCGTCGATGTTTCTCCTGAAAAATCATCGGTTAGCGATAACAATCATGACATCATACGCTTGGATCGTGAATATTAAACGACACGCCGGTATAATAACATTATAGCGTCACACGTTAACGCACCCACGCTAAATGTCGCACTAAACGGAGTTATCCGTTTAATCGAAACTATAGAAAACCTTGCGTCGTACAATCTGGGGAAAAATTGTACCTCATAAACGATCGAATAATACACAGATTCATATATCGTGTTTGTCAATCATTCGTCGATCCTTCGTCGAATAATTAATTACCGAATGTTCGTTAATTATTCGTCAACCTAAATTACATTTATGAATATCCAAATGTCCCGATCTCCGAGCTACACGCGTTGGCAAACACGGAATCCCTGCAGGTGAAATTAATCAATTCGCGATGACGCTAATTTTGCATACTAATAATCGCCTTGGCAGAGCGCGGTATAGTAATTCCCTGGTAGTGGAATCGCTCACCTGTCGAGTTCACGTTCCAGAATATCGTAGATAGGCGTTCTCTCGCTCCAGCTTGGGTTTCGGCGTCGGCGTCGTCGTTGCGAGTCTTGGAAGAGGTTCGTGAAGAAGGTCGCGTTCTCTGGCAACGCGTATTGGAATTGTAAGTTCTGACCGTAAACTAGGACCTTTCCAGACAGCTGCACGGGAACAGCAACACCCACGATCAGCTTGATGAGCGTGCAAAAAATACTCATTCGTTACATATCAATTTTGGGCTACACAAATGCTTGAACGAATTTAATTAGTTCTATGTGTAATTTTTATTTTCTTTATTGACAGGAGGTATAATTTTTTTTCTAATCTTGGTATTAGAAATATGTACTTCAAACCGATCAGTTCTTAATATTTCAAAATTTATTATTCTAAAAAATTACTTACGTCGAATTGCCATTTAAATTCCTTTGCTATTATATAACGTACGAACATGAAAAGTACGTATCAGACACGTCGTATAAAAATGCATAAAGGATTTTATATCTGTTTATGGCACACGAGATCCCAGAGTAAATCTTAAGGAAAGGGATTAATTTGAAGTAGTAGAAGGTTTTTATCCAAGGAACCCTTGTGGAGTAAGTTGCAATAGTCGCAGAAATTGGCATCGGTTGGGAGATTTTCGAGAGCGATCGACGAATGGGGAAGGTCGATGCCTAAAGGGAGAAACAAACGAGCCGAGGCTAGGCAGTTTCAGCCACTTTCAGCTCGTTCATTTTCATACGCGATGGAGCAATTTGTCCGTGACGGAGCTCATCCGTCGGTTGAAAGGGAGTACGGGCCAAAAAATTCATCACCGAAAGTACGTAAGCGTGTAAAACAGCCGGGAGAATAAAAGCCCGGCGTAATCTCGCTTTCTTTGGAACGGCGGAGGCGGATAGCCGGGAAGTTTGACGAAGACGTTTCTGTTTTTCTCGGCATCTGCAACCCTGGGATGAGCGAACAGGCGTCAAAGAAACTGGGGGCGAAAAAGAGCGACGCGAAGGAAAGCAATAATGCTCATGACTCCTTCGCTCTGTCGATGAAAGAACGCCTTGAAGTACGGACGGAACGAATTGAAGACATCGTTGGGTTAACGAGAAAAATGGTGGACTCGATTGAGCACAAATTTTTCAAACAATGATCATGCCACATACTTCATCGATGCCGAACACCTTCAGAAATTCAATATTAACCGAAGAAGAACAGTATTTGGTCATCTGAATAATACAATCAGAGAATACACGAGTATCGCACCGTCTACGTACTTGTAATATCAAAAAAGTGAAAATATTTTTTTGGAATATTTATTTATTTTTCACAATTGAGTCCCATTGCAGGGATATTAAAATTTAATGTTTCGAATTTATATTCGTTAAATTGATACACGCAACAGTACGCTATACTGAAAATGTCTCGATTAAGAATATCGAAGGGATAGGTCGATAGACAACGTGAAACCGATTTAATCATCGAAATAAAACAGTAAAATGTTACATGAATCCCTCATCGAATGTTCCGGGAGTCGCTTATTTTTGTTGATTAAGAGATCGCCCGATATTAAATGTAGCTTGTTGTTGGCAGCCTCTTAAATTGAGAAAGCAATTGCACAGAAGATCCACCGAGGGGAGGGAGTTCCTTCCCCGCGATTTCGCGGAATTGTTAACGTTGGAACTTTTGCTGGTGTAAAGAATCCCGAGCAACGCGAGAGGATAGGAAAAAACTCGCGAAAGAACTGGATTCAGAGTTTTCCCTCTTTCCCGGGGATTTGCTTCATCTTTGAACCGTGGCTGAAGGAGGATAAACGCGCTTGGACGTAATGAAATGAAAAGACTGGGGGGGGGGGAAATGGAATCAAACGAACAGTGAAAATGGCCCTGGTTCGCGTTCACCTGGGGAGAGAAATTGTGTTTATCCATGATTCTGCATCGTATTTACGCGCC